TGATGTGGAAATTTATCAACTTCCAGTTGCGCAGGTGGAGAGAGCATGCCCAAGCTCAGAGCTTGAAAAAGAAACCAGTTCCTGCCAAGAGCAAATCAAAGAAAGACAAAGGTGAGCGAATGACCACTGAGTGTGTTTCATTTTAATAAAGCAAATAAAACATGGAATTAATGAAACAAGCAAAATTAAATTTGCAGTAAATATATAAAATCTGCCATCAACATTTTTTTTTTTTACTTGTTGACATATTTGTGTGGTGTTTTCATATGCTGGTGGACATGTCAGCATTCCCACCTCTACACTGCAGTGCATAGATTCAGACTATTAGGATTTGATATGAATGATTTAATATTCTTAATAAATCTGTTGATTTGCAGGGTGGGGCTCTCCATTTCATTATTGTTTTTCAGAATTGGTTTCTGGTTTGAACATGTACGGCTAAATAACTTTATATTGGGTTGCATAGATTGTTTTCTGAGTGTCTGAATGGAGTCATAGGTGAGCTGGTGTGCTCAAGCTGCTGTGAGGGGTGGAGACAAAGGCAGGGGCTTCATAAATCTGTACATTCTAGAGGAAGCAATGGTGTAGAGTTGGCACTAGCAGATTATTTATATGAATAAAAGCATCTAAATATGTAACTTTGATGCACTGAGGTGAGTTTGTAGAGGGACTCATTAAAATACATGATAACAATTTTAGGCTGAGTCCACACATGCAAGAGTACGTTAAAAATATGGAAAGAAAAAAAAAGGAACTACCTGTCCACATGAAGATGCAAAACCCCAACTGAAGCACTGCCAAGAGCATGCAAAACCAACAGACAGCAATGTAACCCTGGCTCTAGAATTAGAAGCACAAAAAATACCTGTTAACACTTCTGGTAGCCTACCAGCAATGGCATGTAGATTAGGATAGAATCATATTTGTTGACTGGTTCTAACGCCTCTGTTCTTCACTGTGGTAGAAAAGTAACTGTACATTTATGTGTAAACACGTAAAAAGTCCTGTCAGCCAGGTTGGCACCGACACTACTTCTGCTCCATCTGCCATCACACATTGTTGCCTCGGGTGAACAAAACTCATAACACTCTGACATCACAACCCAAAAACTCTGTTCTTCCTGTTTGCATGCCTACATTGCAACCGCAGTTTTTAAATATCTTTACCATCTAAAAACTTGTTTTTCAGTGATGTAAAACTGGGTTTGCATTTGTTTAAAAGGCCAAAACACTTTCAAAAACACCCATGTAAATGTGCACAATGCCTCACAAATAAGTTAGAATGCATACATTTAATTTCTCAAATGAAATCGCAACAAACGAGTACCATCTGTGCTTACCTGATGTTTAAACAGGCCTAACTTGCATGTGTCCTTTTGTTTTTAGCCAATGGAGTAAATGGAGTGAACTCTCACGGCGCCGATTCGCCGAGAGCAAGAAAAGAGAAGTCCTCATAAAAACATTCCCTTCAGCCCTTCCTATCGGCCCCCGTCTTAAAGAGCCATCTTTCCCGGCGCCTTCATGGCTGCGTCCCGCCAACAGATTCTCCAGCTCCTTGACATTCATTTTCAGCTACCCACACAGGACAGAGGACCTCCCCAGCTGGACTCCAAGGGCCAGAATGCATTTAGCTTTGCTTGTCGCCAGGCATCCAGCGCACCTTCATTTTCCCAATCTTTGCCCTGCTCGCCATTTCAAATGAAAAGAAAAAAAAGGAAAAAAAAAAAAAGAAAGAAATAAACTACGAAAAAAGACCTTATTTAAGAAGTGCCTATTGATACAGATTGTTTTGTACAGAGTGTGTAATTTTGAAATTTCAGGAATGATCACTTCAGTGTTCAATGTTTCTCCCAGTTAAGGTCATTTCGTGCTTTTTCTAAATACTGTGTATTCCAGCTTGTCTTTTTTCCCCACCCTTTTTTTTCCCTCCCCACTTGTATTTATAACCGCTAGCCCAGCTCCTCTCCTGTCCCTGTCTTGAGGGATTTTTAGAGTTTGAATTTCCTTGTAATGTCTCTTATTTTTCCATGAGTGAAAGTAGCAAAAAAAAATCTCTCATCCTAAAGATATGACTGGGTTCACACCATGGACTCAACCTCACACAGCACCTTTATTTACACCACGTCACTCATCAACAGACACCTGTAGATGAAAAGTAATGTATACAGAAGTAGTTTTTGATATTCACTCATGGACAGAATAAAGAAAAGCCTATAAAAGCAATCAAGGAGAACAGGAGACGACATGCTGTAGATGTAGATTCACAGTCAGTATTGTGCAAAACTGCCAGCAAAGACGTAGTAACCTGATGTAGCATTTACTTATTGGACTTCAGAAGAGCTTTGTAATCACAATGTTTCTTGCCATGAATTTATACAGAATCTATTGCAGTTGTATCTATAATGCTGCTCCTGAGTAAACACACCTCGTGTTTGAGTTTGTGAGAGATGGAGAAGACCTAATCAGGCGAAGACATCCCTTTAGTGAGTTTGACTGAACCCCTTGTCTCGTATGGTCCTGCCTTATTTTGCTGTTTAAGTGGAATGGTTTCACCATGTTTGTTTGACCTTGCAATTATTGCTTAAAAATGTCCACCAGAACGGTTTGTTATAAAAGCATGGACTGCTAATGAAACAACTGTATTTTGTTTGGCTTTTTTCCCCCCTCCTAGCCCACTATTGACTGTGCCAAATGAGCCTGATTGACTGTTGATATATGCCTTTTACTTACATGCCATAAACAGAATTTCCAAAGCTATGGAGTGCAGTCAACTGTATTGTAAGAATCGATCACCTTGGTAACACCGGCTTATTCTAAAGAACAAACCCATTAACTAATTTTAGGTACACAGTAGTGAGTCATGGTTGCCTCCAGCAGCATGTGGTTTTCTCAACTTACCCTGAGGGTTCATCCTGCAAAGGAATAAAAAATGGTCTATTAAAAACAACCAGTGTTCAGATGTATTATTTGGCTGTGGTAATGTTAATGTACACGTTCTTTTTTTGAATTAATTTTATTTTGCTTAAAGAAACAGACAAGATTTAGTTACATTTAATTTATATGGCAACAGTTCACAGCATATGTAATCTCAGGGTTCTTTACATAGTGAGGCGAAGACATAATATA